CTTTCCTTTGTGAAGGGAAACACACCTCATCCTGCCTTATTTCCTAATACCGAATAAAGACACCTTGCCCTCCATATACCTACTTAGGGTTTCTATTGCTGCAATTAAACCCCATGGCCAAACACCAAGTTGGTGAGACAAGCATTTATCAGGCTTATATTTCCACATCATAGTCTATCATTGAAGGAAGTCAGGTCAGGAACTCAAACAGGGCTGGAACCTGGAGCTGATGCAGAGGCCATGGAGGGAAGCTGCTTACTGGATTGCTCCTCATGGCTTTGTTCAGCCTGCTTTCTTATAGACCACCAGCTCAGGGATAGCACCATCCACAATGGGCTTCCCCCCACTCCAGACCAATCACGGATTAAGACAATGCCTTACAGCTGGATGTTATGGAGGCATTTTTCTCAATTGAGGTTCCCTCCTTTCAGGTAACTCTACCCTGTGTCAAGGTGACATAAGACTAGTCAGCACACCCTCCATGTACATACAGCTTCCCCTTCATAGAAAGCTTCTCAGTCATAGAATTGGAGCTAAATTTGTCTTTCACTAGACTAAGACGCCTATCATATACTTCATTTCAGTCAGCAGCTTTTGCCTAATCAGGAAGACCCTTTGGGGAAAGGAACAATGTTTTGGTTTAGGTCAACACTGCAACACCCAAAAGCATACACACAAAGGGGGTGGGGGTGGGGGAGAAGTCCTCCAGTACGCCTTTCCTCGGGATTTAATGAGTAACTGCTAGGGGTTACAGCCTTTTACAATTGAAGCATTGAAGTATCAGGTCCTGCACCCGCCAGAGCTGGAGGAGGCGTCCAGAGCACATGCTCACACAGACACACAGTCTCATAAGTGTCGTGAATGTGAGATTCAGTTAGAACTGCTGTCTCTTTCCATTTCAATCTCCTCTCTTCCACACTTCCTCCCAAGTCAGATGGGCATGGAGCAATCACAGTTTGGGGGTGGGGGTTCTAGTCAGTGGAAGCCCAGTTAAGAATACACTTAGTCTGGATTCAGTAGTGTATGTATGTGTGGGATGTGTGTGTGTGTGTGTGTGTGTGTGTGTGTGTGTGTGTGTGTATACATATAAGAACTACTGTCATTTCTGTCAATCATACAGTGCAAAACCGGCTTCCAGAAATGGCCATATCGCCTACTGTGTATGCTCACTACAGACTGGCGGCACGGTGTAGTTGTTTTGTGGCAGTGCTACGTATCCCAGAAGGATGGTGATCATGTCAGAGTCAGGACTCAGTGCCTGCAAACTCTTCCACTTGCCCAGCATGTAAAGCCACGACACTGAAGGCTAGTTTCCGTTAACTCAACTGAGGAATTGCCTCCGCCAGACTGGCCTTTGGGCATGTCTGTGGGGCATTTTTTTTTTTTAAATTGATGGTTGATGTGGGAGGTCTCAGCTCACTGTGAACGGTACCACTGCCTGCAAGTGGGCCCTAGGTGTATAAGAAAGCAGACTGAACAAGTCATTGGGAACACGCCAGAACGTAGCATTCCTTCATGGACTCTGAAACAGTCCTATCTCAATGTTGCTGCTTTGAGCTGGCTTCCATCAATGATAGACTGTAAACTGTAAGGAAAATAAACCTTTCTTTCTTGAGTTGTTTTCGGTCATTGTTTTTATCACAGTCACAAAAAAAAAAAAAAAAAAAAAAAACCAAACCAGAACAATAGTCAAGACAGAAATTAAGTAGAAGTTCCTCTATGTCAAATGTCAAAATACTCAACAGTGTGGCATGAACCATTGTAAATGTACCAGTCTCGTCATCTAATCCCTCCTCCCTCTCTCCCATCCTTTGAGGATGATGAACAGAATCAAAGAAACTTGATGCCTACAAAATGAAATCTGCTCTCGGTGAAACATTCATCTTCCTCAATCCACAGATGGAGACAACGAGGCACAGGGAGGCTGCCAGATGTGCCCGGGGGCACACAGCTAGCATGGAACTGCTGGTCTTGTCATATGTGGCCTCTGTCCCCTAGCTGGGCCACTCAGTGGCTGTCTCTCTCTAGGTACTCTTTGTTCCTCTTAACTTCAGTTTGGAGCCGAGCTTTCTGTTCTGCAGAGATTCATAATCTGGGCTGGAAGATAAGCCTTGCCATCAGATCCCCCTTACTTCTATCTGTGCTGGTGATGGTCTACCCTCCCCACCCACCCTTCAAACACAGGTCCCTTCCAGGGTCCCAGGAAGAGAAAGGAAATGAAGGAAGCTGAGCAGTCAGGACAGCAACACCATGTAAATGGGTGTGAGTATTCCCCTCCCGGGGTCAAGTTCACCCCCTGCACCATGTCTATTGGCTGCCTTTTCTGGACACGTTCCTTCATACCACTGAGAATACCTGGGGGCAGTTACCATCCATGGCTTTATGAAACCCAGAGACGCACCAAATGTTTGCTTTGATGGACCTTTTCTCCCTTCCATACACAGGGCAGCCTACATAGCGTTAACAAGAAAAGCAGGCTTTGTTCTAAAGACTCACCGTGTTTCCAATGAAAATTCTATTTGACAACCACCAGAAGGTTCACATTGGAGGGCACTGAAAGCTCTGGCTTTACCTGTCCTTTTATGTCCCCTCCCATTCCTGCTTCTCCTTCCCCCACCCCAGACCTTTTTTTTTTTTTTTTTTTTTTAAATAATCAATTTCTTTCATTTCTTGAGATTATAACTCTGTCTTAAGAAGTACTTGCTTTTTTTTGGTTCCCCAGACCAGTGGTCTCCTTAATCTGTATTTGGACACATGCCTAGGTAGATGCTTTGATATTATAAATTTATCATCCCAAACAGTCAAATCTTAAAAATCAAAAGGTTTACTCTTACAAGCTTTAAAAAGATGGGAAATTTCATTTAATTCCTGGGCTCAGGCTACCACATCCCCCACACACAGAATAAGGGTATTATGCAACCATCCACTGTCCATATAAGTGGAGATCCTATTAAAAAAAAAAAATAAGCAAAAACCATGACAAGTGCTTCAGAAATCACTGTGATTTCTGTGAGAATATTACAAGGCACTGTTTTCCAGTGGACTCATTATAGGGCAGAAGTTTAAGCACCAGAGGGGGTGATTTTCATATGAATGTTGAGTGCTGCTAGGCACAGACAAGAGCCTATCGGGCACACAAAAATCCAGGTCCACTCAAAGCAGTGGAGAAACTGTGTGGGATACGTAGAGACAGATATCACTAGACCCCTTTTCAAAGAAAACTTTGAAAATTTTGTTGGGCTTTCTTCCTTGAACTATCACAGATCTCAATACAATTGTAAATGAGTGGTGTTCAATGCCACACCTGTGGCATTTATATGCCAGCTGCCAATGGCTGCCAAGATGGAAGCATTAAAGAAGGATCCAAGTTACTAGGCCTCCACATAACACAGGGGGCATGGTCTGAAATGAGACATAGCACCCAAAAGTCATACAAATCAAAACCAAAATAAAAGCTCCCAGCTGAACAAAACTTATATAAATAAACAAGTATCTCCTTCTGTGTAAACAGTGACCAGGTCCCTACCAAAAAAAATAAGCAAACAAGCCACGTTTCCAGTTGCACAATACAGATCGTGCAAACTGAAGCTGGTAGAAGAGATGGGACTTAAGACATGATTCATCCTCTTTTGTACAAATGGCAGAGAAGGAACCGAAGCTGCAAAGCTCAGAGTGAATGGGTGGGTGAAATCAGGGGGTGAGATCAGAAGGGCTCTGGCGTCTACTGGCAGCTATGCATCAACTTCCACATCTCTGTGTCTTCATCGGTCCAGGAAGAGCCTTATTGGGATTAGAGGTCCAATGGTGGTTCTTGGAGCCCTGCAGAAGGGCCTCTGAGGAAGCCACATTAACAAAGGAGTAAAGGCAAAGGAAATAGAACAGGGCCTACTGTTGTGGAATATTTTGATCGTACTCTGACACTCCTGACACTGCCTATAAAGTTTACTTTGAATCAGAGGACAGAGCAAGCTACTGGCTGACCAAAATTAGCCATACAGGTTCTGGAGGACCAAGAACATATAGGAAGACATGGTTGAGTAGTAGGATGGGGCTTAGAAAAATTCTTGGCCTTTTTAGAGCAAGGAAGGAGGGAGGAGGTCGCTAGTCATTTTTTCCACAGCTTCTCTGATCATTCAAGCTCTTGCCCAATATCTGACTCCTGAGTTTTTATTGATAAAGAATAATTAGATAAATGCTTCAGCCTACGGGCTACCTCTTAACCCCAAGTGGGTCAGAGTTCGATCATTTTGTTATTGTCTTGTTTTTGAAACATGTAGCTGAGGTTGCCATCCTCCTTGCAACCTTGCAATCTAACTTGTAATCCTCCTGCCTCAATCTCCTAAATGCTGAGGTTATAGCCTGTACCACTACACCCAGCAGGGTCATTCATTCACAGTGTAAAAAATTGCTATTTATAGAGTTCATTCCCTAAAATAAGAAAAATAAAAAATAAGAAAAATTAAAAAAAAAAAAGAGAGTTCATTACCAAGACAAATTTCTAGTTCAATATGGCCCCAAAGCATTAGACCAGAGTGCATGGTATTTTGTTAAGTCTTCCTGTGGTATCTGTGTGGTTCTATAGAATATTGTTATTAGAATTCACTACTGACTGGTTAATATTGATCCTTAAGTCTGTACACAATGACCTCTTATTCCTAGTTACAGGGGAAGAACCTGAAACTCCTAAATTGCACAGTTCAGTCGCTGATAGGACTCAACCTGCAAAATGTCTAATATCAAAATTGTGAAACTAAAATCTGTTTTCACAGTTAAAAAATAAACTCCATTGTTAAAAGGCAACTTGTTTTGTTTTTGTCTTAGTTTCTGAGACAGGGAGTTTCTCTATAACCCAAGTTGACCTCAGATTCCTAAATGCTGGGGCTGCAGGCTAAGACCACATAAAAAATAATAATAACAACCTGTTCCCTCTATTCTTTGAACTTCTTCTCAACAAGGATCATCAAGTTACTCGTGTTTATCTCCTGATACTAAAGACTTACCCTGGGGTGCAGAAGTGAATGGCCACCAGCTCTGCCCAGCAAGCGAATCTGTTGGGGACAGGAAAGCCCAAAATGTTGACAACGCCGCCAGGGCAGTAATGATTGCTAAGAACTTTCAAGGCAAACAAAACTCCTAGAAGAGAACAAAGAACACATCAGTTTCAGCAATTCAAATCATAGAGAATCACCGGGCACAAAGACAGGAAAACTATTAACTATTATACCCAACTTTCTGCTTTGGAACACAGAGTGATTCCTTTGATAGATCCCAACATGGAAGTTCAAACTTATTCCAAGCATAGGACACAGACAGTGGGAATGGGTCACCAGCAATGGTATCAAACACCAAGGAACTGTCCCTTTAAAGCAGCTAATTTTATGGTACATGGATATGAAGACTGAACAAATATCAGTAACACATATTCCTGTAGTCTCTATGGACAAACACTGAAAGCAGGGTGTATGTACTTCAATGGAGCTGGAGTTACAGGTGACTCTGAGCCACTTACCGAAGATGCTGGAAATCAGACTTGGGTATATGTGTTTAACTGCTGAACCACTTCTCCATCATCATTGGATATTTAATGACATTATTGAGAGGCACAAGTAACATCATTCTCTCAGTAACCATGGACAAATTCAGTTCTCTCCCTTCCAAGCTTATGATGTGTAAAAGTAACTGTGGAAGGTATCAAGTACAACATGCTAAGATAAAGGTGGCATGGTGTCCTCTAGACTTGTTCTTCAGGAATGCATACAATCCTTGGGTGTACTGGGGTAGAGGAAGACTGACTTTCAGAGATTTCATCTGCAAGGGGATATACACAGTCAAGACCTCATCTGCCCTGGGATGCTTTCTGAGCCTTGGGGACCAGCTCACAGTGAACCCCAGACTTATGTAGCCCCTTGTTTGCCTATAGGTGACTTGCTTAGTATTCCACTTGCTTAGTATTATATGTTGCATACAAGTATATTAAGCCTCACTGGACTCAAGACAAGTTGGTAACCAGTGTACCCTGAGCCTGCTTCACAGGCATAATCAGTTTTTGAGAACACCCTTTTGTAAAGACACCCATGATTCCCTCCACAGGGTTACCACGAGGGAGCCAGTGGCATACCTCCAGTACTAGAAAACATCTTCTAACAGGCCCTCATCCTAAGTGCCCAAGAATGCAGATGCAGCATAATGTGGGCAGCCTAAACAATGCCTTCGTGTACCCCAGTCAGTTTGCTCTTCAAGATGCAGGCCCCACCAATCATTAACCACTCAAGATCCTGTCCCCTTATCAACTAGGAAAGGAAACAGGCAACCCCCTCTCATGGCTCTCACAAGTGTATCCTGAGAAAGGGTCCACCTTACCTGAGAAACCAACTGCACAGTTCCTCCTGAAGTCGGGCTGATTCATTAATTCAGAAAGCGTGAACTGCAAGACCAAATACACCACCCCCGTAAGTAGGGAGAATGTGGTGACAATGTAGGCAAACCATCGGCTCCCCAGCCGTCTCTCCAGCTTTATTCCTTTCCAGAGCATGGACACCATGTTGAAATACAAATGCCAGTCGTCTGCATGGTGCAGGGGAGAAAGCAGTAAACGCTGCCAGTCTTTTTGCTGGTAACACTTTTCTACGCTGATGCAGGAATAGTACAGGGGCTTCAAGGGATTCAGGAAGAACCAGACGTTGAGAGCCAAGGTTGCCAGAGTAACAGGTGGAACATTATTGATCCCAACATGGAACACTTGAGAAAGAAGCATAAGGAGCCCGACATTGATCCCTCTTGATCTCCGCTGCATGACTGGATATCAGGAGCACAGATGGAGAACTCTGTTGCAGGATTGGAAACCCAGGGAGGCATGCAGGGAACAGCACCTGAAACACACAGTGAGGGTAATGCCCATCAGGTAAGAACCGTATGCTGCAGTACACTAAGGCGCATCCTACGTTTCATCCCAACAGAGACATTCATAGCTTTCTTCAGGCCACATTCTAAAGTAGAAATTTTACCCCAGGTCCCAGTGGACTTACGGACGCACACGCAGTATGGTCATGAATTTGTAATGTATCTTCCTTAATTAATTACTTAATTAATTAAAAGGTAAGCCTGGCAACCTAAGTTTGGTCCTTGGACCCATAAAAAGGTGAAGGAGAGAACCAACTCCACACAGTTGTCACTTGATCTACACAGTGCACACCCACAATATACACATCATATACACACAAAATAATAGTAATAGTAATACTAATAGAAAAGACATGGGCTAGGGAGCAGGGTCAGTGTACAAGGCTTGCTATTTAAGCATGAAAACCTGAAACCAATCATCCAGAATGAGAACCAACATCCGAGGCTGCCCTCTGACCTCCACAGACATGTCACAGCACATGTGTGCTAGCACTCACACGTTAAGTCATACACACACATCATATACATGGGCACATACATATTTCATACATTAACACACATCATATACACATAAAAAACATAAAAGTGACAACTTGGATGATGACAACCAACCCACAAAGACAGTATGCAAACATTAATTTTAAGCAAATCCTTCCCAGGTCTCTTTATCTATTATTTTTAGCAGAAACACTCAAAATGCCAAAAAGCAGGTTTGTGAACATGTTATGGCCTAACCCAATTTTCATACTACCAGATGTCAACTCCACAAATTCTCAGTCATGAGATTTTGAAAACCTATCTATGTGCCAAATCCTAGACTGAAAAATGCAGCCCTTGTTTATAAGCTCACTTGCCACCAAGAAGTAAGTCAACCACTGCCACAGGATGCTGTAAGCACAGAGAGGAAGGTCCACGGACACAGGCACGCAATTCCACTGAAGATGGTGACAGACAGGATTAGTGTCTGAGAGACTGCATCTGAGTTAGTGACAAGGAAGAGTTCCTTGTGTCAGTGTTCCTCCACCCTCTAGACAGAGCCTGGCATTGTGACACGCTTTGGATGACAGAAAGTAGAGGGGCAGATGATACAAGAAGCCCAAACCTAGCCCCAAGATACACTGCAGGTACCTGTTCCTGTGTGGGCTAGAGTCTGGGTTAGTCGGTACAGGCCTTTGTCCTCCAATGGTCCTGGTCACTGGCCAGCTAACTCAGACATAAAGCTGTCTAGCTGACACAGATGTAAAGCACAGCCCAGTGAGCCCACCCTAGCTGGAACCACAGAGAGATAAGTCCTGGAGGTGGCTGGTTAAGCACAATTGCTGATACGGAAGGTATTGACTTTGGAGTGGGACTGGTTTTTGCTCAGGAGAAGTGAGGACAGGGGGTGGAGTGAGCAGAGACAGGCTAAAAACAGGTCTATAAAAAGGATCAAGGGTTTGGAAGGAAGGACAGAAAGTGGGGGGGGGGGGGTGAGGGCATCAGGAAGAGACACAGGCAGAGGAGGTGACACATGTTCAGATAAAGTTCATTTACTGATGTATGTTTTCACATGGAGATTTCTCAGCTCCCAACTCCAGGTAGCAGTAACTAGACAATACATGGACTTTATAGAAATGACAGAACTATATTTTAATTGAAAAGTAAAATATTTAAAAGGAAAAACGTGTAAAAGCTTCTGCTTAGGAGCACCATAAGCAAGCCCATATAAACTGAAACAACTAGTAATATTCCATGGCTGTTAGAACATTCTAGAAGCAAAGGAAGTACTTGGAAAGTGCTAGTCATATCACTTGTGTTGAAATCAGTACAACAAAGGGCAGAATTCCAGTAAGGTTCAAATGTACTCTCAACCCCCAAACTGGTTATCTTCCGGTTTCTTATTTTTCTATATATTATATAATGAATTCCAATCATCTTCACACCATCCCCTCCCTCCTCTCCCACTGGCACCCCTTCTAAACAAATCTCCCCTCTCTGTGTACTTCTAGGTTTTCTTCTTGTGAGTTTAGAGTTACTTACGTGCTCGATTGTGGGAGGAAGTTATTGAGTGGTGCAAGTGCCATTCATCTATGGCTGCACCATTGAAAAAAGTGTTATACCCCACCACCACCACAAGCTTTGATTGCTGATAACCCTTTGGGGGAAGGATGTGGCCTCACTGGTCCCTACTTCATCCATGATGAAGTGTTGATGGGCCCCGTCGTGTGCAGATCTTGTGTAGATACCATGGCTGTAGTGAGTTCATGAGGGCAATGGCTGTGTCACATCCAGAAGATGTGTTACTTCACATCTCCCTCCCCATTCTCAGCTCTTACATCCCAACCACCACCTCTTCTGAGATGTTCCCCGAGCCTCCAGGGGCACATTATGGTGATCTTAATGAGGATGACTCCTATAGGTTCATAGGTTTGAATACTTGGTCTCGAGGCGGTAGAACTATTTGGGAAGCATTGGGAGGTATGGCCTTATTGGGTTTTAAAAGAATCATGCCACTTTCAGTGTGTTCTCAGACTCATGCTTTTGAGGTTTAAGATGTGAGCGCTCATCTATTCTGGCTACCATGCCTTCACACTGCTGTCATAGATTCTAACCCACTGGAACCATTAGCCCAATTAAATGCCTTCTTGTGTAAGTTGCCTTGGTCATGGTATTTTATGGAAACAAAAGGAAAGCTAGTAATACAGGTTATTATGGTTGTCCAAGTTGGAGCAGGATACTTCACCATCACTTATTCTCAGCCCTTTGAACAGTTATGGATTTCTGCATTAACCAATGCCTGCTGCAGTAAGATGTTTATCTAAGGAATATGTGCTAGATAATTTTATGTCAACTTGAAGCAAGGTACAGTCATCTGAGAGGAGGGAACCTCAATTTAAAAAACGCCTCCATAAGATCAAGCTGTAGGCAAGCCAGTGGGGCATTTCCCTAATTAGTGATTGATTGGGAAGGGCCCAGGTCATTGTGGGCTGGTGGTCCTAGACTTTTTAAGAAAGCAAACTGAGCAAGCCACGAGAAGCAACCCAGTACACAGCACCCGTCCATGGCCTCTGCATCACCTCCTGCCTCCAGGTTCCTATCCTGGCTTCCTTTGATGATGGACTATAATGTGGAAGTGTACAGCAAAGAAACCCTTTCCTCCCCAACTTGCTTTTGGTCAAGGTGTTTGTTTCGTCACAGCAATAGGAACTACAACTAAGACAGAAGGCTAAGAACAGTACTTTCAGGGTATGAACATGAATACTTGGAATGCAGTTAGACAACATGATTGTTCAGCAAAACAACAGTAGAAGATTCCCCTACTAGAGCCTATGGGAATGCTCTCCAATCAAGGGCTCCTGACCAGGTTTACCACACCAGGCATGAGTTCTCTCCTGTGGTGTGGACCAGAAGACCAGGTCAGCTTCATGATCATATCTATTTGCTGCACAGTTTTAACAACCTTCCCACCACATGATGTGCATTCCTCCACCTTTAAAACACTGTATCAAATTCACAGAAATAAACTGGAGTTACTTCAAGTGCACTGACAAATTGCCGCACCAGATCTATCTGACAAACAAAACACCACTTTAATTATGTGGTAATGTACATCAGACAGTGCTATATCAAGGCTGTGGCAAAAACATGAAGATTTCTTGAATATTGATGGGGAAATTAGCCATATTTACTTTTAATGAGAAATTAAAAATTAAACAGGTATGTAATAAGAAAAACTACACAGCTAGAATAAACAAAGAAACAGAATTCATAACTTGAAAAAACCAGCTTGCCTCAAGGGGAGCTGGTAGGAGTAGAAAGGGAAAAGAAACTAATTACAGGGACTTTCAATTCTACTTGCAAAGCAGAAAATATTTCACCATTATCATTTACCAAGGCCGTATTTATCTCAATTTTCAGATTTAAATGTTCAATAACAACTGAAATTGCAAGAATATATACCAACTATAAATTCTATTCCCAATTTGGTATGTGATACTAGCAAAATTAATTCCATAAGAGAAACAGACATGATAGAGTCTTAATGGGAGTAATTAAATGTCACACTGAAGTCTGGGATCTCTGTATTATTGTAAGAGCAACAAATTCCCTGAAATCATCTTACATTGTGTGGTTCCCTCTCCAAGAAACTGTTTATTGTTACATAGCTGAGAAAGATCAATGGCATGCCATTACTGCTTTGAGACCTTTGGTAAATTTCATTTAACAGGTTTACATAGTTTAATAAAAACTCTTTTTTAAAAAATCACAGGGGAAAGATGATTAACAACTATTAGCAGCCTACTATTGTTTAGGTTGAGAACTTTCTAAATATCCAACTTTTTAAACAGTTGAGTTTAGAATTTTTTAAATGGAGACATAGTTCACATACCATAATTATCATGCTCTTGAAGTGTATACTAAGGGGATTTTAGTTTACTCATAGATTGTGTAATCATAACCAGTATTTCAGAACTTTCTTGATGCCAAAAAGGAACCCCATGCCATTCAGCAGTCCCAATACTTGGCTTCCCCCAGATCTTGCTAATTATCCACCTAATTTCTGTCTATTGCCTATTCTGGACAGCTCATGTAAGGGAGATTATTCAATACAGAGCATTTTACTTATTTCCAAAGATATTACACCAATACTTTTTTGTTCAAGTAAGATTTCATTCTATAGATACACCATATCTTGTTTTTCTACTCATCAGCAGATGGGCTTGTCCACTGTTGACAGCCTGGCCCTATGACGCATAATTCTCCTAAGATTCTGGTGTTACTCTCTGTATGAACATGCTTTCCTTCCTAGGAGTAGAGTTATTGGGCCAAACAGCAACTCTGTCTTAACATTTTTTTCCAAATCCATGCACCATTGTATACTCACTCTATTATGCAAAACATCAGGTTCTATCATATTCTCAAGAACCTTTGCTTTTTATCTGTGTTTCTTATTCTAGCTTTGCTTGTATGAAGTGGTATGCACATATAT